TAAAATATAATATATTTTCTCTAATTTCTCCAGTTCCCACTCTGTTTTGCAAGGTCATAGGCATATGTTACATGTCTCATATACTCTTTTTTTTTTTTTTTTTCTTACCAAGTGTGGAAATTTAGATACTTTGCCAATTTAGCAGTTTCCTTTTTTCCCTAAGCTTTGGTGACAAATAGAAAGAATGCATTTGTGATGCTGCTATCTCAGCTACATTTTCTTGTTTGTACAATGGCAGAAATACACAATATATATGCATGTATTTCTTCCTTAATCAGGAGCCCTAGGTATTAGGAATGTTGTTTAGCGCAGTCTGGGTTAGTCAGTCTTTAGGGAAGAGTTGATTAAGAAACTTGTGCCTGATGGTTAGACAGATGTTTCTTCCCCCAAGAAGCCTTCTTCAAAGTCTTAGTCAAATCTATTTGCTGAAGACTTTCTACTCCTTATGCATAGAAGGTTCTCGCTCATTAGCTTTGGAATCCTTTTTCCCTGGAAGTATCTCTGTTTCCAGCCAAAAAGACAACTCTTGATGATTAAAGGTAAATTAATAAAAATTAAAGCAGCATTTTTATGTTATTCCTTGTACCCTTCATCTATTTCCAGTAACAACAAGCACAGCCCCCCAAAGTCAGAAGAAAATATATCTGTTTTCAAAAGCCGGAAAACAATTCACATAAGCCCTTTCATGTGTACAGTTTATCAGATTACAAAGATTAACTAGTTTGGCTGCTGTGGCAGAAACTTTTAAGCCTACGAATAAACCAGTCTAAACCAAAAATGAGACAAAAGACAGGAGATGACTCCTGATTATGAGCAGGAAAAAATCTGCTCCAAACTTTTGATATAGACTCTTTTATTATGTTTGCAGTGTTTAGCTAGACAGAGGAAACATTCCGAAGAATTTATAAATTATAAAATGTTTAGAAATAATAATAGAATTTGAAGAAAAAATGTTAAAGGAGCTGAGATAATTTAAACATTTAATAACATAAGGAGTATTTCCTTATAAAGAGCTTGTCAGTTTTATCTGGTTGAATTATCAGACATATTTTCACAACTGCATTCACATAGATATATGAAAAAAAAACCTTTTAAGTTCCTCGTAGAGTTAATCTGACATTTATATTGTAAGTGCTTGGAGTATACTATTAGTATTTTTATTACTAAAATGTGTTTACCTTAAAAACTTTTAACTTTCAAACATTACTAATTTGGACAATCACTTAAATAGTTACTTAAATAAACAAAAACAGAAAAGAAAAAAAAATGCTGTAACAGAGCTTTTACAGACAAATGCATTCCTCTCTATAGCCACAGCAGGTGGGAGTTTAATTACATGCTCCAGAAGCAGTGATTAAGTACCTTCATGCAAAGGATTGCTGGCACTAGGGTTTTATACCTTGCTAAATCCCTCAACTGCCTGCATAGTGTGTGGAATTAGCTGTTTCAAGTGCTTTAAATTTTATTGTAATATTTGGTGAGTTGTTATTATAAGGGCAATTAAAAAGCATTGGAATGCTTCTATGGGTCAGCATTGAAAGACTTAAAGAACTTTTCCACTGAGGCACCTGAGCATGTGCTTAACTCTTCCATCTGATTGATTCATGTGCATAACGTGTGATAAGGTAAGAAATACTTTGTAAGTTGTTAAATATATTTACTCCTACTCAGATAGAAAAAAGCAGAAATACGGGTGCTTATATCTTGTTATTTAACTGATCTGACTGTGAAGCCCTAGCTGCTGCTTAAAGAAAGAATAGGATTTAGCTATATGAAATATCATTATGTATGTGGTGTGTGATAGCTGCCTTTCACTTGTTTGCTCAGCTATGAAAGAGTTTATTTTGAACTATTTAGTATTTTTGTTTTGTAATAGGGTAGTTTGTGTTGGTGGAGATGGATCTGTAAGCGAAGTTGCTCATGGTCTGCTACTTAAAGCCCAGATTGATGCTGGAAAAGACACAGACTATATAACAACACCTGTCAGAGCACCAGTACCTCTTGGAGTAATACCAGCAGGTGAGACTGAAAGGTACTGTTACATTTTGTAAATCTTCTGTTTTAAGTCCCTCTGGTATGTTTTGTAGTTTTGGCTACTAAAGGTGGTTCTTGGTGCTAAAGCTTCAGTTACTTCAGGGAGCTATTGAATAAATGTCCTAAATTAGTGATTTAGATTGATTACAGATGACTAGATTTTAAATCATTATGATAATTTATAGTAATGGCACAGATGCGTTCTTTGCCTTAAGGAAGAAGCTCAGGAAGAAGAAAACTAAAATAATTTTCTGCTGATCATGCAAAGATCAAGTCTTGCCCTTATTTACTGCCAGAAATGATACCAAATGAAAATTCATTTTTCTAGAATTTCCTTAATATAAGCTATGCTGTTTCACTTCTGTCTCCAGTTTTCTTGGCAGGATTCTCAGTTGGATTCATGCTTTGGGTTTTATTTTTAAATAGCATCCCAGGAATACATGTAGAAAATAATACTGTGCAGACAAAACTGCTTTCTCTCTCCTTTGCTTCTACAGACCTGAAAATGTATGCATCTCTCTTGAAAAATCCTCTTGCTCCTTTATTAACTTTTGTTTGCATCTTGTCGTGTGTGGGGTTTGGTTTTGTTGTTGTTGTTGTTGTTTCTTAGTTTGGGAGGGAAGTGTGTGTCCCTTCTCCTCCCAGTTTTTGTATTTACCCTTCTTGGAGTATAACTTGGGCCAGACAGGGAGAGCTTAGCTAGAATTAGTACAGGCAGGGTTGATTCTGGACTGGTATATGAATCGCTTCTCTTTTAAAAAAGAGAGCTATTTTTTTTGCATGGACACTACCCTCTGGTGTGGATGTTGATGTAACTACTTGATGTAATTTCTCAGAGGTTTTTAACTAGCAAGGAAAAAATTCCTACGGCCGGGTGAACAGCAAATAGTTGTTCTCAGTTTTCTACAAAAAAAAGGAGCAAGTGACTTCCAAACTAAGCTAAAAAGTTTTATGTGCTCTGACTTGCTTTGCAGCTCTAAAAGACAGGGACTAGTTGCTTGTAAAAATGCAAGATTACACTAGCTTTGTTCAAGTTAAAAAAAACCCAAACCCCAAAACAAACCAAAACCCAACTTGGAAATGTATTGGTAAAAGGTACAATAATCTCAAAGACATGAAGCAAATGGATTTTAGTGCAGCAGTGGGATCATCAAGTTCATTTAAGTTGCTGTGAATATCTTGATGATGTTGAGACAGAATCTCTCCAGCACTTGACTCCATGCTGTTTAGGTGTGCTTAGAGCACTGTGCCTCATCATTACTGCTTACTCTCTTCAGTTTAAGACAAATGCATCATAATCAAAAAGGATTTATAAACCCAAAACAATGCTCTACTTCTTGTTACCCAGAATGCCATAGAATTTGTTAAAAGAGGGTGAGAAAAATTTTTAGAATGATAGTGTGAGAAGCTCATTAATAGATTCTTAAAATAATCTATAGCTTATTTCCATATTATTGACATTCTAAAAAGTAGTCAGTTAGGAAACAGATAGGTATGATACTTGTGTACATGAAAAAGATGGAACTCAATGGTCAATTAATTTTTTTCCCCTAGCAATTGATTTTACCAAATTATTAGGATTCTCCAGCTGAGTAAGAATAGAAACTGTACCACAGGATAGCATTATTGGAGTGGCTTAAAATCTGATTTTAGTATCCATTATAAGAAGTTAAGACAGCATTTTGAAGTTTCAACCAACTGGATGGAAAGGAGCTGTTCTTGAAACAGTTTACCTCCTGAAGAGAAAGGTCCAGAGGGGAGTGTGTTTTTACTAAAATCCTCTACTGAGCTGCCTTGTTCTGGTCCAAATCAAATGGATGAGATGTGGGGAAGGCTGCAGTCCTACTGCTGGCCATTAGCAAGAGTGTTTGTTGCTATGGGAACTACTGCTAAGAAACTGTACGGAGGGGGAATGGGAAAAAGGGGAGGGGGAACTGGAAGGACATTAAAAAAGCTATCCAGTTGTTACAGAACAAGAGACAATCTCCATCTGATTCCGGGAACCTTTTGGTCCTAAATGGTTTATTTAAATAAATTCATGATTTCCAATTAATTCAGAAAATAAAATATTACTGAGGGACTGTTAATTTCTGTGATATTTCAGGCAAAGAACCAAAATGTTGGTGCAGTTTTCATCAGAATTTTAGTTATGCTTGACTAGGAAGTCATTACATCACATTTATCTGTTTGGATGGGGGAGACATTAACAGCCTTATGAATATTCATGTTGTCTGGTTAATTAAGTTAATTGTACTGCAGAAGTGCTTGCACTTCCAAGGACGATTTTTTTTCTCTACAATTTCTATTTGGTACCTTCATCAGTCATGCTTTACATGACCTGCGGATATGTTGTCCTTACTGTGATGCTTTTGCACATTTCATAGGAAGGAGGTTGTAGGAAGTTGTTTGTAATGTCAGGAAAATGGGTTAATATTTTGAACAAAATTATGGGGTTTTTTAGTAAGAAAATCCTCTTTGTTTCTGTTTAAAACAATGCTGATGACAGAGATGCTGGAGTTGTATGGATGAAACCTTTTTACAGTAAATTGAGTAGTTGGAATGAGATCTAAAAATGTGACTGTTAGTAATGTGTGAGGGGTGCAAGCTCATACATGAGCGTCAGAGAAGGTTGTTAGTCTCTGAAGTAATATGATAGCGTTCAGGGGAACCATCTTGTTATTGGTAAGTACTATTCCGAGCGTACATGGGGATAAAAACATTTAGATGACTTGGGAAGATGAATAATGGCATTAAAACCACTATTATTGAATCACTACTTATATCAGCAAAGCTTATAGTCTATTATTTTTTTGTATGTACCTTTTCATTGTTTTGGTTCTGTTTATAAGGGGGTTTTTTGTGTGTGTAGCAGGATGTAGGTAACGAGATATTTAGTCATTACTGGTATCAAAATGCTGTTAGGCGTGTATTAAGAGTTTTTTTAGAGAAGGTGATGGTACTTGCTACTGCAAAACTGTGCATCTTCTAGATGTTCTGCTTGTGGAAGGATAGATGCGTTACTTATGGTTTTGAAAACAGAGCTTGTTTTATTTTCCCAGGAGTCATGAAAGGGTGGGGTTTTGCCTTGTTTACTTCTGCAAATGTTAATGAGCTGCACAGATTTAAGAGAAGGAGGCAATTACTTGTGCCTATCCTGTTTAGTAAGAAGGAGATTTAACTCTCCTTAAAGTCAGTATGAAGATTGGTATTGACTTCAGCTGTGGTCATTTGTTATCTTGCCACCATCTATATTGATAAATTACTCTTACTTAAATGAGGAATCCCAGTTTTAAGACATACCAAGCCTGATCTTCAGAAGTATATTCTGCCTTGTGCTCTTTTATTACATTGATCTTCAGTGACAAAGAAAAATATTTTTTTCAGAATAACAACTACCCTGTTGTCAGTTTACAGGAAATAAACATAATTAGCATGTCTTGTAATGATCTAATTTTTGTGTGTCTGATTTTCTTTGTTTTGGAGAGATTCCCATAGAAGTTGGTAAAGTTGGAAAAATTTAGTTGAAGGAAATATTTGAGCATTTTTGAGATGCTTCTTTAGCTAGCTACACTCGCTAAGCAGAATTACTTTAATCTAAAGGTTAAATGTCATAAGTCATTCAAACATGAAATGGTATTGGGCTTATACTTGTATAATTCTGTGAAGAATTGATTTTTAGGTAAAACCTATTTTTTTTGTCCCCGAGTTTTCCTTATGGAACTGTCTTTTATGTTCACTGAATTGAAAAACTCACTATTTTGTGTACTAAATTGTATCTAGAGCTACATTTTTGCCTTTTCTTTTTTGTGTGTATTGTACAGAAAGGAAACTTCAAACTACTTTGAGTTGTTAGATATAAGTTATTGGATATAAATGATTTAAAGGGTAATATTATTAATAAATTGGACTTCCTGTTAGTATATCTAGAGAGACTTTCTTCTGGGAGAAAAAAGTGAAGACTTGCATTTAACTTTTGAAGTTGTCAGTTTATTCTTCTTTCAAAGTACTTCATAATACAAATTTGCTGGGTTAATTTAAACATTTTTCTTTCTTTTATTAGGAAAAGGATAAATCAATAGTATAGTCACCTATAAGATTCTGAGAAGTATGTGAACGAGTTTTTTTTAATTGTTCAAAGAATAAAACTGTACATAACTTGATTTCTTCCTTGTTTCTTCCATGGAGATGTAAGCTTCAAAGAATGTTTTGTATCTATTATCTTAATAGATGTTCCTCACTTATTTCCTTCACATAGTAGGAACCCCTAGAGCCTTACTCAGAGCTCTTCTCTCTGACATTATGAAGGCTTTCCATGAGGTTCTGAGCATTCTGAATTACTTTCAGAGACTAAGGTGCTCTAAAGTCGTAACAGGAGAGATACTGAGATACAATTCCCAATTGATTTACAAATTCTTATTCAGAGAAATTATTGAAAAAAATCAAAGCATATACTCCTAAATAAGAATGACAAGATGCTTTTAGAGCTTCTCAACTATGTACATCAGTCTTTCCAAATTTAGTATTTTTTTTCTAATGTGACATCAAAGATTGCAGAGTTTTGGGATGAACATAATTTTTCAATCTGGTACATGATGCTTTTAAAGTGCTTATTTAAACATTGAGTTCCTCTTGTTTGAAATGTGATAGTCTTTCCCTTTCCTCACTTCTCTCTCTCACTTTTGAAAGACAAGTTTGTGTGCTCCATGAAACTTAAGGCAATTTAGCATCAAGAAATGTCTGTTGCTGCAGCAACTTATTAAATGATTCAAGCAACAAGAAAATGATTTGAAAATCTAAATAAACTCATACCTTTATGGCATGTTGGGTTCTAAATTGTGCTTTTGTAATTTTTGATATTTTAATTAATGTTATTGAATTATTCATCCCTTAAACAGTGATATGAAGAAGCTCAATATTCTGCCTGCTTGGTGGCAGGCCCTAGTTCTTTATTTTTGTAGAAGTGGATCCTAAGGCCCTGCTAATTGGCTAAGAAACACCAGAGATGTGATCAATGAGAAAAATCAACTTTTGTTAAAACTATACCCATTTAGGAAAGATGCTACAATTCCTTGTTCAGGATTTTTAAAATGCTGTTTGAAAGTCAGCTGATACACACTATTTTATGTCCTATACATTAACGCAGAAGGGCAAAATTTCCATGTATGTCCATGTTTCTTATAGAGGTAAAGTGACTTGCCATATCAGTTACCTCCAAACCTGTGTCTCCAGAACCATGCTGCTTTCTTTTACAAACTGATAGCTAGTTTTCCACTCTGTCTTCCAACTCCATGCTCACTTTTTTTCTATTCAGCTGATCTGCTACTCATTCCCTTATTTCAAAATAAATTAATCTCTTCTGTCTAGTGGCTAGGAGTACAACTGGTCTGACAATGTCCAAGCAATGACAAAGACAAGTTAGATGGGTCAGTTTTAATGCACTGAATGCAAGTTAACAATTTGTCAGACACGTGTCAAATTCTACGTTCTCTCTTTTTCACTCATTAATATGTTCTCATATGTAAAGCTGATGTGCAGTATTAATTTTATTCACTATTGCTTCTAAGAATCTAAAATGTAGCCTGCAAGAGGCACAGCAGATATCTTAGGCTAGATATAGTAGAATTTTGTCTGGGAAAGGTAGAGTTTTGCACTGACTAGGTTTTATATTATTTTTCCAACTTAAAAATATTCCCAAAATGTATCTTATTAGATAATCTGTATTATTAGATAATAAGATTCCTCAGTACAGCACTTAGGTATAGAAGAAGTGATCGTTAGGAAGATGGTTTAAAAAAAAAAAAAAGGCAATATTTGCAAAGTTTTTTTTTTTTTCCTTTTCCTCCTATTGTTTTTTATGACACTTATGAATGAATTTGCAGAGAGGATTTTATAGACCTCTGGAAATTTTAATGGTTTTACTTTGTACTATTCAGCCTTTCTGCTGTTACCAAGACTAAGCCATTTGTGGGAAGGCTTTCTTTTTTTGAAAATGCAGTAAATAACTCAGTTTCTTCATTAAAAAAATGTATAAATTTTTTCTTGCTATTCTGCATCTCTCATTTTTACAATAGTTTGTGTTTGCTTTTGCAGGTACTACTAATACTTTGGCTCACACTCTCTATGGTATTAAGCATGCAGTGACTGCAACGTTGCACATTGTAATGGGTAAATATTTTTACATACATTATCAGATTTTAAATAATGAAGCAGCATTTTTAAGTTTTCCATAACCAGTGGTTTAATAAAGCCATATCATTATGCTATATCACTGTAAACTCTCTTGTAAGACTTTTTAACCCTAATGATTCTATCCTGTCTTACAGTGCACTGGAAAGGTTATGATTCTTTGAGTACAGTTTAGTAGCAAAGGTTGCAGACCTCATCTTCTGGTAACTAAAATCTGCCATGGAGTAATGTCTGATTTTGGCATTCATGCCCTGTTACTGCAAAAAGTAACCTTTTTCTGACTTCTTGTGTGAATAGTGTTACTCTGTGTGTGGTGTTATGCAATGATTGATTGCATAATTGCTTGATTATTTTAATTTAATATACCTGCTGAAGACAATAGGAAAATTTACAATCTTTCAGCTTGAGGAAGTGGTTAGGATTGGACTTTTCAATAAAGTATTGTCATATTTCTGAGAAAGTATCATTCATCTTTTTGGATCTGTGTGCATTTCTTTTAAATGCTAACAGTTTCCATAAGAAAACTTTATTAGTAGAAAAAACTGTATCGCTTGCCATTTGGTCTGCACAATAAATAGTTTTTTTAATATGAAAATTTAGTTATGCTAAAGGAAAAAAATAGGTTGCTAATGCAAACTTTATTTGCAGGTCTTAGAAAATAGCAAATACTTAGTTGAGCAATGTTAATATTGTCCTCAAAGTGATTTTTCTTTAAGGATAGCTTCCCCCCCCACCCCCCACCAAATAAAAAAAGAGAATAATGGGGAAGGTCCACCTTGAATATCTGTTTTTTAGACCTTGCAGTCAGCAGTAGAAGAGCCTTTGCTCTATTTCTTAGATAGTTATACACAAGCCTTTACAGGCAAAATCTAAACCTGTCTTTTTTAATTGGAGACACTCAATCTAATGGACACCCCCCAAGTTTACAGAAAAAATCTATATTCCCTATCTTGAACAGAATTAGGTGTCTAAATTCTATAACTGTAGAAAAGTATTTAAATACATTTAAAACATATATATAAAAGCTCCTGTACCTCCTCCAGGACAATGTTCAGTCATTACAAATATTTGGTGAAATGGCTGCAAATATTTATGTAGCAATATTACATTTTATTTGATACTAATTGTTGAAAATTCAAATAGAATTAAGAGTCAGACCTGTTGCAGCCTGATGAAGTAGCTGAATTTTTGCCCTAACTTTTTTAACATTTTGAAGCATCTGAGCATTGTTCTCTAAAATGACTACTTTTATGGAGTCTTACTCTGATTCAGGTTTCCGTTAGTAAAACTTGACTTCCTAGAGAGAGATGAGTCTGAAGCTTTTTCCTTGCAGCTAAATTAGGTGAAAAAGAAATGGTAAGCTGTATTCTGTTTGAAATACGGATGTTATTTGTAATTTCTGATCTTTATTTTTGAAATTTTAGGACATATTCAACCAGTAGATGTCTGTACTTTCAGTACTCCAAGCAAGCTTTTGCGTTTTGGGTTCTCAGCTATGTTTGGTTTTGGTGCAAGGACTCTAGCTTTGGCTGAAAAGCACCGTTGGATGCCCTCCAATCAGCGGAAGGATTTTGCTTTTATCAAAACACTGGCAGATCTCAAGTATGCCATGAGCTGTTATATTTTTTCAGTGTTTCTCACTTTCTTGAGGAAAATGCAGTAGTTAATGTGGTAAAACTACAGACAACAGTAGTTTAGCTATCTTGACTTCCCAATTGCAGACAGATTTAACTCAGATGTGATGTATATCCCTCTTACAAGTTATAGAGGAGATAAATTCTGTATATTCAGCATCTCCTTAAAATCATCTTAACTTGGATAAAAGTCTATCTAGCTGTCAGAATATTGGTTTATATGACAGTAAATGTCAATACTTTTCTAGGCCAGAGGAATGTGAATTATCATTTCTACCTCTACAAATTCCACAGGAGGTCTCTCATGAGAATGACAGGTAAGTAAAACTGAGTCAAACAGTTTCAAAGCTACAAAATATGTGTCTTTGAAGATAAAATTGTACAAATTCTTAATTTTGTTTCAAATCTATCATCAGGTAAAACAATCTTAAAAAAAAAAATTTTACAACTGCAAAGTTTTACACTTTGTAAAACATTCCCTGTAGACTATAGAGGATTTGTTACAAAGCAGTCTTCCACTCAGTATTATTATTTGTTCAGTTCTGTTAATCCTTTCTTCCACTGAGATCTTACTTTTTTTCTGAAATAGATGCTGTTTAAAAGTGCTAAAATGACTTTAAATTATTTTACCTACATGTTTCCACCTTTTCAGAAAGAAGAAAGAGAAAATTAAAAAAAAGGGTGAGTTTTTGCTTTTATGATTATTTAAAAGCAAACTGTGGCTGGTTAAACTGGAGTAATATAGAAATATTCTGTTATATTTAGGTAGCAAGGATCAATGGCACAAAATTCAGGGTCACTTCCTGAATGTGAGCATTATGGCAATCCCTTGTCTGTGTTCAATGGCACCAAGAGGCTTGGCACCTAATACGAGGTCAGTAGGGGTTTAGAGAATTAGTCATGTCTATAAATTCTGACATCTTATCTTAAGACCTTGGCTTTTCTGAGAATACAAGCCTGTGTTTAGGTAGTCTAAACCCTCTGGAATGGGGGAGGGAGCATGGACTGCAGCAGACTTGATAATCCCAGGAATTGTAATCAGTTTTTGGATCAGGCAAATAAGGTCAGGCAGTCTAACTAGAATAGTGAGTGAGTAATTGCTGCTGGCAAGTCTGACTTAAGTAGTAGTCATTGAGCAGTCATCTGTCATAGGATTTGGCTGTATGTGGATGTGGAAGCTTCATTCTTGTATTGTATTTTATTTTTTAAAATATAAATATAAAGGTGCCCCTCAGCTGCTTTACAGCTGGGAAAAACGAAGGAAGAATCTTTCTGCTGTTATGAAGAACTGAAATTCATATTTGTCTTCTGTTTTGTTTTTTTGTTTTGGGTTTTTTTTTTCTTTTTTTTCTTTTTCTTTTTTCATTTGTTTGGGAAACAAATGAGTTATGTAATCTGGTTATTGCTATTGACTCATTTTGCCTTTAGCTCATTATTGAGACAATGCTTTGCAGATGCTAAATATTTGTACTCAATTTATCCAGTTGATGATTAAGCAGAATAGCAAGTACAAAATTTGCAGTTGTATGTGAAATACAACACGGTCTCTCAAGAACAGTGCAGAAACTCATATACATATAAGTGTGTGTGTATCTATTAAAAAGACCCCCAACACAACACTCAGAGAAGTTTATGAAATTAAGGTTTTGTTTCATTTTATTATTGTTAGCTGAAAATAGATATGCCCTAGAATTGATCAGGTATCTTTCTTCAAAATTACTAGCTGATCTGGTAGAATTTGACTTCTTGGAAACAATGTAGAAAGAAATGTTTTTGATGAGACTCTTATTGAGAAATTTTCTTTGCTACAGGGGTCCTGCTGAGCTTCATATATCTCAAGATAGTGCCCTGATGCTGTCCCCTCTTAGGAACTTACTCTGTTTAGCATTTAGTGTGTTATATACCAGTCAGTAGAAAAATTCTGACAAGAAATGAAGAAATTATTCTCTTTTAGCTTTGCTTTCTCTTTCCATCTGTTCTGGCATCTCTTTCTCAGTGACAGGGAATTTTATGACACCTCCATGCAATTATTGCAGATTTGAATGAAGCTGTTTCTCCCACAGTGTAGTTGCTCAGTGGATCCCCCTATGCTTTCATAGGGAATCTTCCCCCTCCCCCCCCTTTTTTTTAAATAATCTTAGGAGTGCAGTTAGCTAGTAGGGTAGGAAGAGTAGACTCTTCAGACAGGTGCTTCATTTCTCATAGGGAATAGCAAGTTGGCTGCAAGGCTTTTCAATATGGGAAACATAATGTTGCGCTAATTGTTAGAAACTCAAGATGCATCATGGAAGCATCAACTACACTCAGCTAGGTTTCATCACCCTATCTTATTTTCTCCAAGAGGTTTTTGCCATATGAAGACATTTGAAGTGGAATGAAAGCTTTGACTGCTGCCTCTACCTCTAGTTATACTAGTCTAAATTTGCAGAAACATGTCAACATACATTTAACTGTCTGCGCCATGCAACACATCTATTTCTTGCAGCCTAGGTGGTGTGCTTCACTGCAGAAGGGACTTTCCAAGAGAATTAATGAGAATTCATAATCATCTGAAGAAAAAAAGGCCATAGTGCCGAATGCATTGCCCAGTAGCCTGCTGTGACCTTTTATTGCAGCAAATATGATAAGGAGACAACTTTTTCAATTTCACCATCACTGTTTTCTAAATCAGCAAAGTAATGCTATGACAGGTGACTTGTTTAGTGGTTATATAAGAATTGGCT